CTTTAGGTTTGATTTGATTATTATATTCCAATCGACCCAAATCAACTCACAAACAGCCCTAGAAAAAACTACAATGCAAAAAGAATATATTATATTATTATATTATTATGAAAAAAATGATAACTTTAGCGGAGAATATATTATATTAGTTAAAAATCGAGCTTCGCACGTGGGTATTTAAATATTTATTTTAATAATTATTATAATTGATTATATTATTATTTTTTATAAATTATTATAAATTATCAAATCTATAAAAAAATTGAAAATATTCACTTTGCTCTCTCTCTCTATATATATATATAACTTCAATAGTACATAGATTTAATGTTTGATGTAAATGGGAAAAAAATAATAATAAATATAGATTATACTTATATTTTTCTTTCCAATTTATTAGTTCAGTTTTAGTTTCGAAACTCAAATCAAACCAAATCACATGAAATGCTTGAATTTTACGCAATATACTAACTCAACAATTGGACGACAAAAATATATATTATAATAATAATAATAATAATACATGAATTAAAATAAAATATATATTATAATAATAATAATAATAATACATGAATTAAAATAATTGTAAATAATTAAAAATTTACATAAACATGTATGAATATGAATCAATGAATGAAAAAATTTAAAATGAACAGTTTTATACAATTTGATAAAAAAATAACAAATTTAAAAAAAAAAAAAACACAAATGGATTTATATTTAGCTTTTTCTTTCATCTTCTTCCCCATCAATATGATATTTCTCATACCTGCATTTATACACATACGACACATATGATTGATAATATAACAAAGAAGTTATTATTAAAGAAATAAGATTAAATAGGAGAAAAGTCACGGATACACACAAAAAAAAGGACCATAAAAGATCGCAAAAAAAGGTTAAAAAAATTTTGAAAAAGAAAAGAAAAAGGAAAAAAGATATCAAAGAGTTAACATTATCTCAATCGAAAACGAAGGCAATAGTATTTCTTAATTGAGCATACATATATATAAAGGAATAAAGAAAAAAAGCAATAATCAAAACTTAAAGAATTGAAAAGCAATAAAAGAAGAAAACTACTCTTGAAAGAAAATCACTAGAACTGAGGTATATATAGAGAAGTATAGGTACATGTAGACAGATATAAATAAGAAAAAATTCAAAAACTTTTGAAAGTTTTAATTTCAAAATTGAAAAAATTTAAAGTATTAATTATTTGAAATTTTGTTATTGTATATATTAGATTAAATATGGAAAAAGAAATGAATAAAATTATTTGGGGTGAGAGAGAGAGAGAGAGAGAGAGAGTTTGGGGTGAGAGAGAGAGAGAGAGAGAGAGAGAGAGAGAGGCATTGAGATGGGTAACTGAGAAGATTAAGGGTCTTTTAGGGGTAAATAGGTCATTTACAGTTTTAATCTACGTGGCAGCCCACGTGGCATCTTATTTGGCGCCTAATCAACAATTAAAAAATAAAAAAGTGGGTCTAGCCATCCTACAGTGAATTCCGGCGATCCACGTAGAGAAATTTCACTTAATTGCAAAATTATTGGGAGTTCAAATACTCAATGGTAAACTTTTTCCGTTTATACACCAAAATAAAAAAATTGCAAAGTTCATACACCAAAATTGCAATTATCCTAAAATAAATTTAGAAACTTTATGTTTATAAATTTTTGAATTCTTATCATTGATTATTTATAATAATATAAAATTATTTTCATTTTGTAAAATTCTTTAAAAATAAAGGATATAATAAATTTTTCATAATAAATTAAATGTTTATTAGAGCATAATATAATTTTTTATGTTATTGAATTATAGTTTTTTATTCTTTGAATTAAAAATATTTTATAGAAAAAAATTATTTATAGATATTATAATTACAATTTATATAAATATTATTTTGTAAAAATAGAAAATATGTTAGAAACATATTTTGTTGTTATAAAGAAGAAACTGTTGTTTTCGTACCGCCCGAGCGACCCGAAAAACGTAGTAGGGACAAAAACATTTTATTGAATACCGTGCCGATTAAATCGGTCTTATAAATAAATCGGTCTTATAAAACATTTTGAGTCGCCGCCCATTATTTCGGTAATGGGACTGTTTTCAATTTTATTTTATAAAAGTGACTCCATTTTAAATCTAATTTTATTTAAGGCCAAATTATTAAAAAGACTGGTTAGGCGCACTAATGCGATTCTAGGTAAGGGAATTGGGTACGCTGGCCCATTGGAAGCCGACGCCTCGAAAAATCGGCCTCTTTTAACCTTACAATTTCTAATTTATTTTAATTAGAAAAGCCAAATTACTTATTTATTTAAACCCAATTCGAATGAATCGAACCGAGTTCTTATATGGAAAATTAATTAATCGTCCCAATCAAATTCAATCATTGCATCCATAATCATCCCAATCATCCAAACTAAAGCAGCTAAATCAAATAAATAAATAAAAGAGCTAAATCAAATAAATAAATAAAAGACCCGCTCTTGCCTTATGGTTCAAGGCGGGCCACAAACCGAACCTAAAAATACATTCTACCTGATTCAAAATTTAAACCGAAAACCAAAAACCCAAAATCATGCATAATGACATTTTAATATTCTAAACTTAATTAAATTGCAATCTATTCATAATTCGTCATTTTCGGATTTATTGGGAAAATTAAATTTTATTTTGTACAAAATTTATTATTTTTGAAAGAACAAAAATTGTTTCTGGAACCCTAGAATTGTCGTGTTACGCAGCTGTTCTTTGGAAGAACAGTCGCGTTACGGAGCCGGTAGCTGCGTGACGCAGCTGTTCATAATTCGGAAAACAGAGTACTGGGCATGAATAATTCGGAAAACAGAGTACTGGGCATGAAAAACAACATTTTTGGATATGAACATCTCCGTCACGCATCTGCCAGATCCGTTACGGATCCATTAGTTGTGTGACGCGGCCGTTCTAGGTAAAGAAACGAAATTTTGGACATGAACAGTTCCGTCACGCATCTGCCAGCTCCGTTACGGATCTACTGGCTGCGTGACGCAACTGCTCTGGTCCGAGCTCTGTTTTAAATTATTTGTTTAGAGCGTTTTTTTATTCAAACATATTTTAAGAGAACCTAGAATGACCAACAATGAATAGAATACAGTTCAATTAAGATTAAACTACTAAAACAATAATAAAATAAATAATCAATGAAAAAAAAACACAAAAAGTGTAAGGGAATTACCTAATCCTCAGATTGAGATTGTATAGGCTTTGATGCCTTAACGAACCGACGGGTTAAGTATGCCTCCAGAAGCTCCGTTCAACAAGGATTTAAATGTTTCAACTCTTTTTCTCTCTTGATTTTCTTCTCTTTCTTTTCTCTCTTGATTTTCTCTCTTTTTCGATCTTTGTTTTCAATCTAATTGATATCTAATGGCTGTTTTTCTTCAAAGGAACTCAAAGGAGTCTCTAGAGAAAAACCTAGCCGCAAGTGTATTTTTTTATGCGCCTTTTTTTTTAATCCCCCTTTCGCAGCTGCCAAAAAGACAAATTTATAGAGGTAGGGCAACAGAGCATAGCTGTTAGCTGCGTGATGCAGCTTTCTTTTCGGACCACAGCCACTTGTGGCATGTCATCATATTGATGACGTCATACAAATAGGAGCTGCGTGACGCAGCTGACGGTGTCGTCTTGCAACTGATAGCTGCGTGACGCAGCTCTTACGCAACCAGACTCTCAAAATCAATTTAATTTAAATCTTTGGCTTAAAAGACTTCTAGATAGCATTAATCTTCCATTCCACATCCTCATATCATCATTGGATCAGGCGGGGGCATAGAAACACGCGTCAATAGTTTTCCTCCCCTCCACTTTATCATTAATTGTGTAAACGATTAATGTTAAAGTGGCCCATTGACGCGTCTTCAACATTGGATTGAATGAAGTAGCTGTCTTGATCATCTGGTCATGTCCAAAGCCCAGTCTAATCGGCTTTGTTGGCTCCAGTCGGATCGGTGACGATCTCCAAAACTCGGTCTAATTGGTTTTGAAGATGCCTCCTCAGCTCAGTTTAATCGACTTTAGAGGGTTTGGCTATGTCCAAAGCTCAATGTAATCGGCTTTGTTGCTCACCTCCTCAGCTCAGTTTAATCGGCTTTAGAGGGTTTGGTTGTGTCCAAAGCTCAGTGTAATCGGCTTTAATCGGCTTTTGTGTTCACCTCCTCAGCCTCAGTTTAATCCGGCTTCGGAGGGTTTGGCTGTGTCCAAAGCTCAGTGTAATCGGCTTTATTTTTTCAACCTCCTCAGCTCAGTTAAATCGCAGCTCAGTTTAATCGGCTTCGGAGGGTTTAGCTTGAAAAATTTTCAAGAAAAGAGAGCAATTTCTGTGTACAAACAGATCTTGCTTTTGTTAGATGTTGGAGCATCACATGCCCCCATGCATTATTAACCATAAACTTTGAAATTTGAAATCTTGCATTAGGGCAAAAGAGTATATTTTTGCCCCTAGTCTGGAATTCCATCCCGAGACCAAAAAATATTATCTTTTCAGCAAACCTTGAAAACTTTATCCATTGCTAAAAAAATTTTGAAACTTTAGCAAAGAAAAAATTTTGTTAAATTTTTCTAGTCCTAAATTTTCAAGTATACTTTTCCTAATGCGGTGTTTGAAAGAAAAACTTACCTGAGGGTATTTGATGATTTTGATGATTTTGCCCCCTGTGTGGCGAGTAGATGAAATTATTGAAGTATACGAGCCTGTGGCGAGTAGATGAAATTATTGAAGTATACGAGCCCGAGCCCACACAAACCCACTCTAATGTGCCTTAAATAAGCCGACTTAGCGGCTTTGAAGCCGACTTGGGCTTTGATGGGTTCTTGGTGGGCTTGGGCCCATTAACCCTTTTCCTTTATAAATAACCCTTTGCTTTTCATTCTTTTTACATTCGGTACGCGGCCTCTTCAATTTCTTCTGGCACCAGGCTCCGATTTCCTGATTCGACACAATACCAACGCGATGCGCGGTTTCCAGAGTGAGGTAAGTAATTTACGTTTGAATTTCTTGCTTTTTGTGTTGCTCTGGGTGTTTTGTGAATGAATTGTTCCAATTTTTACTCTGTCTGCTCGTCGACAGTGGCGTCACGCAGGAGAGAGTTGCGTGATGCAGCTGTTCTTATGTGAACAGTTGCGTGACGCAGCTGTTCAAAGCTGCGCGACCCTGTTGCGACCCTTGTTGTCTCTGAACTTTTTGATTTTGGACTCTTTTGCGCATCTTGATACCTTATTTGCTGCCTTGGAATGTGATTTGCTGCCTTGGAATGTGATGCCATGTTGAATCCGGCTCATTTAGACCCTGTAAGCTCATAGAAAAACACAGGAAATAGGGTAGATTAATGTTAGGGTTTGTTTTCTTACCTTTCGGCAGGTGCGTCACGCAACTGTTCTATGGACGAACAGTTCTGTGACGCAGCTGTGAGACAAGGGACGCAGCTCCTTGACAAGCTGCGTGGCGCAGCACTGTGGTTGCGTGACGCGACTACAGTTGCGTGACGCGACTGTGTCTGATCAGAAACTTGAATGCTTTATTTCTTGCAATTAAAAACAAATAAATGTTAGCCTGACCTTTTATTTAAATAAATCTCTTACCTAGGTCGATCTGGGCAAGGCCCGAGTTGGCGGATCTTCTACTGATGCCTCTGCCTTCTGGGATTTATTGGACCCCCCAATGCGGTCGAGAGTTATCTCTGCTGGATTCGGTGATTATGCATCGGGCCTTCGCTAGACTCAGCCCCGGTTCCCACTTGCCATGCGCTACGCATTGATGGAGCGGTGGAATGACTGTACACATTCTTTTATTTTCGGCTTCGGAGAGCTGACGTTGACACCAGCCGATTTCACTGCGAGCTGACGTTGACACCAGCCGATTTCACTGCGATTACCAGGCTTGGATTTGATGGTGACACTATTCCTTTAGACGACCGGTACCAAACGGCTGCTTTGGGAGCCGAGCTTGTAGCTACCCTGCTTGGTGTTACTACACGCACCAAGTACACCTCGCAGGGCTATGTCTCCTATGAGGTTATGTATAAATTTTGGGCTGAGCGGATCCGAGTGAGATTAGCAGCTTGGAGGGAGCTACCTGTGGATGTTAGGCCTGCGGCCCCAGCTTACACTAGAGAGGAGAGGGACCAGGCAGCGAGGTCCTTCATCTTTCAGAGGAGAGGGACCAGGCAGCGAGGTCCTTCATCTTTTACATTATCTCTTCCCAGCTTCTCTGCACCTCCCAGAATAAGGGAGATCCTGCTGTTTTGGCTTGCCTGCGGGACTTGAGCCTTGTCAGTACCTTTGACTGGGCTTCCCTTGCGTTGGCTCATCTCTACCATGGTCTGGATGTATGGACCGAGGTAGTGGTGAGTCTAACTGGCAGTTCCTCCGCCCACTCGAGGTAAGACACCTATCCTTCTGAATTCTCTTCCTTTATTTTCCAATCACTCAAATTTACACTCAACTGTTTGAATCTTGTCACAGGTATGGGCATATGAGTATTAGATCTATCCTGGGGGTCCTGAGAGTGATACTCCTGCTGAGACTCGACGGATTCCCCGATATTTGGTTCACCGCTATCATACTAACACCATTTTGGAGGATTCGTACCACTGGCGGTGCTACCTTAATGACAGGGTGTTGGCTGATGTAAGTACAGAGAATCTTCTGAGTAGCATCTCCTCTCTTTTTTTTTTACTACTTATTCTGCTGACTTTTCTGTTTTGCAGCTCTTGTTGACTCCATGGGAGGGAGATGCTTGGACATGGGACAGCCTATCCCTCCGAGTCCGAGCGGAGGCCCTACCCGGTCCTACCCGGTCCAGAGTCTTACTTCAGGGCTAATGGGTGAACCGGTATTATTTGGGAGAGAGGGTCCTCGAGATCCGTACTGCCACAGCCCAGAGGCGAGTGCCTATTGCTCCCCCTCGCCACATGTGTACCTTAGATGGGATGACACCGGAGGACAGGTTCCTGGAGTATGGTGGCTTCCCAGCTGATGATTACCTGGTGCCTGGCGATTATGCCTCCTATCTCTCCACTCAGCTGAGGACCAGACTTCCAGATGTCTGAGAGTACTCTCAGGTAACTCTTTTATCCTCACCATTTTTTTTCCAACACTTTGACCGAGTAATTAACTGGATTTCTCTGACTTATTGACCGAGTAATTAACTGGATTTCTCTGACTTATTACAGGATAGGACGAGGCATCGGACTCCTACTTTCTATGAGGTGCAGGCTGAGGTTGGTGCTCCTACCGAGCCTACAGGTGTTGTGCTAGGTGATATCCCTTTCCCTCCGAGCATGGAGGTTACCTTGGATCCTTCTCTAGGGCTTAGACCGACCCTTGCTATTCCTATTGATCTCAGACAGGCTCCGCCACAACTACAGCTGGATCTTGAGCATGCCACACATGTAAGTATAACAATGAATTTACTAAGTCAGAAATTTTTACCTGGAGGATTCTTTATCGAGTGCCTTCCTTCACTTGCATGTGCCTGCTCAGAGGTATCAGGAGCTATACCAGAGGTTCTGCTTCGCTCGAACCTACATCGCCAGATTGTATCCGGAGCGCCACGAGATGGTATGATCCCTTTACTCTTGGCCTTTTGCTTTGTGTACTTCTCTCACCCTTTTCCTTTTTTTATTTCACAGGAGTTAGAGATTGGCAGGCTACGGAGACATCAGGCTCGTCAGGTCGCTGCTGTTTCCCGTCTCCAGATGGAGAATGACAGGCTTCGCACTAGACTGGAGGTTGAGGGGATTCCTTTAGATCCCTCAAATGAAGGGGAGGATGATGATGATGATTCTTCGTCTGACGATGCTCCACCACTTCCTTTTGCACTCACTAGACTGGAGGTTGAGGGGATTCCTTTAGATCCCTCAAATGAAGGGGAGGATGATGATGATGATTCTTCGTCTGACGATGCTCCACCACTTCCACCATCTTCTGTCAGGCAGGCGGCAGTTGGTCCTAGCCGGAGATGACGTTAGGCTTCTCTCAATTTTTGATTGCATTTTTTTTTATATTTTGTAGCTCCCTTGAGCACGTTACAGTATTTTGTACATTTCTTTTACATTATTATTTACATTTCTTTTGAGACTTTACTTTATTCCTGCATAAAGAAAACAAAACCACAGAAACGAAAAAGGAGGCATCCCACTCACTTATGAGAGTGGTCCACCTTGTTAATGCGGGCATAAATGCCCATCTACATTGTTCCAAAATTGACAAAAGACAATAAAACGAGAGTTAAGCAAAACCACATAAATAAAAAGGATTTACACTTTTGAAAAAGATGGGGTGACCATTTTATCAAAAACCCACATTAAATAAAAAGGATTTTTAACAACTTTTGAAAAAGATGGGGTGACCATTTTATCACCTGCAACATTAGAAAAGAGACAAATATTGCAACTCCCTCATGTATGCATCTGTTTTCCATCCCAAATCCCCCGAAAGGACACGAAAACATCTTTTTGTGATTTTTAATAAAATTATTTTTATTTATGGATGCTTCAGGGTGCCGATAAATCGGTCTTTATAAACAATTTTTGAGTCGCCACCCATTATTTGCAATGGGACCATTTGGTATAAAAATGACTTCCATTTAACCTAATTGTTTTAAGGCCAAATTATTTTCAAAAGATTGATTCAGGTGCACCCCAATGTGATCTAGGCAAGGGAATTAGGTACGCCGGCCCGTTGGAAGCCGCACCGCGCCCGGAAAAATCGGCCTCTATTAACCTATGATTTTTAATTTATTTTAAGTTAGAAAAAAAGCTAAATTATTTATTTATTTAAAATCCAACCCAAATGAATCCGGACCCGAGTTCTTATATGCGAAAATTAAATTTAATCATCCTAATCAAAATCTGATTATCACATTAACAAATATTCAAGTCAAAGTAATTAAAACAAACAATTAAACCAAATAAATAAAAGACCCGCTCTTGCCTTTATGGTTCAAGGCGGGCGACAAAACCGAGTCAAAAATTATTATAATAAAATAAATAAATGACCCGCTCTTAGCCTTATCGAGTTCAAGGCGGGTAACAAATCGGATCCAAAATATATAAAATTTGATTCAGAATTAAATAACCATAAACCAATAAAAAGTAAAAATCATGCATTAATTATTATTTAATACCAAAAAATTATTAATGAATATGCAAAATTAATCTTAAATATAAATAAATCAAACAAATTTTACTCCGCCAACATTTAATTATTATTTTTTGTCTGAATATGGCAAATTGTTTAAATAAAATCTACAAATTTTAATTTCATTTTTTTATTTGAATATAAATTGCTAAAATTCATATAAATAAAACACATAAAATTACAATTTTAGTATTTTAAGTTTAATTAAACTGTGATTATGTTCATATTTGGGCATTTCCTTCAGATTTTATGAAGGAAATCAGGTTTTATTTTTGTGCAAAAAATTTTATATTTTTTTTATTATTTTCTGGAAAAATTTTGGTTATGAAAAACAAGATATTGTTCATCGATTGAACAGCTGCGTTTTGATTTTTGCCCAGAATTCATTTTTAAGTGATTTTTTTTACATTTATTTTCTTTATTTAAATGTGATTTAAGGACATTATAAAAATGAGCCAAATACTGAACAGAAGATTTAAGGACATATAAAATGGCCAAATATGAACAGAATACAATTTAAAGAAGCTTAAATTACTAAAACCACAAAAATATAAAAAAAATACAAAAAATATGTAAAAAAAAACAAAAAATTTTAAAGAAATTACCTAATCCTCAGATTAAGGATTGTAAATAGATCAAATGTCTTAACAAATGATAGTTAAGATCTCCAGAAGCTTTGTTTCCATGGATTGAAGTGTTCTTTTTTATCTTTTGATTTTTTTTTCTCTCTTTTTATGGTTTGATTCACCTAAAATTGATATCTAATGCCAATTTCTCTTCAAATCAAATAAGAATTTTTTGGAGAGAAATGTGGCAGCACAGTATATTTTTTAGGGTTTTTGCCGTTTGTGGAGTTGTGAAGTTGTGTGAAAATTGTAAGAAAAAGATGTATTTATAGAGCTAGATCAGGACACTGTAGTACAGCTACTGTAGCACGGACACTGTAGCACGCAACTCTCTCTCTCTCTCTCTCTCTCTTTTTTAATCCTTGGATTGAAAGGTTTCTAGATAGCATTAACCCATTCATCCTTGTGTCCTCATCGGCTCAGGCGGGGCATAAAAAACACGCATCAACATGCATGAACCTATTTAAATGCTTGGGATTTTATTCATAGTTTTTCTTTATCGATCCTTCCAAGGAAACCATCGAGAAAATAGCATTTGACCTTCTTATCGCCGTCTAAACGAATCCAACACTCAGGCAGGACCATCAGCCAAACATCTTCAAAACAAATGAGCAAATGCTGACCATATAGGCAGAGAGGAAGGTCTTGATTATCATACCCCAGAAACAAAAGGAAAGAAAATTTTGAAAATCAAGCTCTTTATTGATCTTACTTCTTTCAACATCATACAGAAGTAAAGAGAAACTACTTTAATACAATAGTCGTTCATTCTAAATTTCTAACTTACTCATTCGCCTATTCTCCTTCTAGTCAGGGTTGATGGCCATTGAACAAAACCCGGTTCGCAAACTATTCCGACGAATGCATGGGCATATATTTCGCATTTGAAACCTAAGCACCATGCGTTAATTCTCAAAAAAATTTTCTTCTTTTTTTTTTTAACTCTAACTTTTTTGCCTTAGGCCACCTTTACGGGTTTTCAACCTTGCGAGCTCTTTCTTACCTTAGGTCGCCCTTTCGCGGTTTCAACCTAGCCCATTTTTCCCTTTTTCTTTTTTTCCTTTTTTTTTTATAATCGAAATTTCATCCTCTCAGACATAGAACCTTTTCATCTGGTCTTTGGATTAAACGATCCGATTAAAAGGTTTCCCTCCGTAGTGACCAACTCAGCGGGGCATCCTTTGGCCATAGCTTTCTGGATTCTGAATGGGTCCATGTAGTTGGTCTGAATTTACCCTCCAGGATGACGCCTGCTTGGAAGTGAAAGACCCTGTCTGTAACTATTGTGATTGAGGGAGCCCATTAGCGGACAGAAAATGTTCCGGTTCCGCTCGATAAATCTAGCCACCTGTTTGGCAGTCAATGAATAAAACAGACTTTTGAAAAACTCACTTTCGGCTTTTTCTCTTTATCATTTTTTCCTTTTTTTTCTTTTTTTTTTTCAATATCATATTATTTTTTTATTTCATCATCATTTTTTCCTTTTTTTTTGTCCGTAAAGGAATAACATCCCATTCTTGCAGCACTGTCGATCAGAATATCTATATGTGGAAGAGGGAAGTCATCTTTGGGCGAGGCTTTGTTTAAATCTCTGTAGTCGACACAGACTCTTAGTCTCCCATCCTTCTTGAAGCACAGGCGAACTATGTAACGGCCCATTTTTTGTTGTCTGAATAGTAAGTTATCGGTCTGTAAAATAGTGCCATCGGTCCGGGAATAAGTATTATTTGGTCCGGAAAAAATCTACTATTATGTTTGTATATTTTATTTAATATTTTTGGATGTATGTATATATTATGTTTTATGGGTTAGAAAAAGTAAGTAATGAATATTTTTTTGGAGGGAAATTAGATAATTAGTGAAATAGTGAATATGTGATTATATTAATTAAAGAAAATATGATCATGCAGTTTGTCACACAAATGTCAATACAACAGCAATCACAATTATTATCATCTTCATATAATCACATCACGTGGAAATTATTCAGTGGCGTCATCAAAACCTTCGACGAGCTGTACTCTCACATAGTCCATTCTCTCAAATGTGTGCACCTGTAACGCCCCATTTTTCTGTGTCTGAAATAGTAGTTTACCGGTGTGTGAATAGTACCACCAGTCCAGTAAGTCGGTATTATTTTGGTCCGAAAAAATTACTATGTATCTATCTAACATGAACTTCTTTCTTCTTCTCCTCCATTTTAACTTTAGCCTCTCTTTCTCTTCTCTTTGTTTTCTTCACTTATACTCACAAAATCCACCAATTTGACACCATTCAACTTGATCTAAGTGAATTCTATTTGGATGGAACTACCAAATTCTTATGGATAAATGGTTAAGTTAGAATAGTCCATATGGCACATTGCATGAGTTGCATAACTTTATGATTTGTGCATGACTACTTTTATGTATTGAGAGTCTTCTTAAATTCATAATGTAAGCTATACTTATGTCATATATATAAAATAATTAAGTATCCTTTGTTTATCAAATTCCTACTTATCCAAACACTCAAATCAAGCCAATTCAAAACCAGAAAAGTAATCAATCTTTGAGATTAAAGCTTGAGAAATGATATTTGGTGAATAATTTCAAGTAATTTGGAGGACAAAGGGTGGAGAATTTCCTACCAAAGACAAGGGAAAACTAAGGCTTAAAAGAGTCTTATTTAAGCTTGTTAGAGCTTATGTTTAAGGTTAGTGTTCATAAACACTCTTATATTCTTATAGTATTTCTGTATGATTTTTATCCAATGTATATATATATATATATAGATACATATAGCTCAACTTATGGCTGAAACACCCCAACTGACTCTGTTATGCCAGGCCACATGCATCTTTGAATTGATTGCCCATTTTGACCACTATAATGGCAAGATTATGTTCTAAGTTCTTCATGAAAGTTGTATCCTCTTTGTGTCCAATGATATATATAAGCTCACTTTATGGCTGAAAACACCATGGGTGAAACACCCAAACTGACTCTGTTATGACGGGCTACATGCATCACTGAATTGAGTGCCCCTTTTGACCACTATAATGATAAGATTATGTTCTGAGTCCTTCATGAGAGTTGTTGCCCTGTGTCTTGAGACTTCTATGGTTTTGGATTGGTTTGATTTGAGAGTCTGGATACGTAGGAATTTGATAAACATTGGAATTAGTTCTGCTGAATCAGGTCTGGACTGTTGGTCTGTGTTCCTAGCTTTTGTTTCCTACCTTTAGATTGATCTGGGCTGTTGTCCCTCCATAATGTTTGTAGCATTTTGTCTTAGCTTTCTAATGAATCTAATTTCATTGAATTTGGAGATCTATA